TTACCTAAGCTTAGTGAGATTCTTGTCTTTGGCTTGGTACTATATATGCCTACTCCTGAACCTTCATGGGGTTTCGAGCCGTCTGTATACCAGGTGAATTCTGCATGAATAGGAGTTCCTCCCATCCATGCTTCCCTGTCTGGTATACTTACTTTATATTGCTTTTGAAAGCTATACTTTGGGAGCATTCCATCTGAAGGCATTCCCATTATTTGGTCGTTCTCCAACTCTTTATATAGCTCGCTGTAGTCACGTCCATACAAACTGCTTATGATTGATGATGATACTAAAGACTGAATTTGTTAACTACATTTTCATGGAGAAAGTGGTTCAACAGAAGAAAATACTTGTCTGGTATTACACAATATTTTTTTTTAATAATAAATGCTTCGGTATAAACAGTAATATTATTAAAAATGTCATGTTGATCCTTAAAATTTAAATAATTTATCTTAATAATTATACTCGTGATTAACTTTCATGTTAAAGTGTTTTTGCAATTACTAATAGTTGGTTGGCATAATTAATTAAAATAGAGTTATAATTATTATTTGTTTTGAAACCTAACCTCTCCTCAATCAGCACACTTTTATCCCTTGTTCCGAACGTCCACGACACTTCAAGCAACTTTTCAATTGCTCACAACTATGTGCTTCCACAAAGTTAATAAAATGTAAATTACCATCAACGATTTTTCTAATGATTGATTTGTATGTAGAGATAATATTGCTTTTCCAGCCATTGTTGATCAAAACGGTACGAAACTTTTGAATTGGCGCTATTTTAACATGGCGGCTGCGCTTGTGCTCATAACATGATAAAAAGGCCTATACATAATAATTGTTTTTTGTAAGTCAGCATCTATAACTGTAAAATTTAATATTATAGAAACTTGTAATAAAATAAACTACACTTCGTAAGATACATATTGTGACTAGTTTACATTAAATACCTATTATATTTAGACATGAATACATTATTTTACTTACATTAGACGTTTTAAAAAGACATTGAATTGATTTCTTCTTGTGTTTTCTTTAGTTTTACATTTAATTTTTATCTTGTTTTACAATCTGAAACGACGTAAATCTAGCTTTGATGTTTTTTGTCACTCATGTTACTTGTACTCAGGTACTTTTTTCACATTATTTTGATTTTTTCACCAATTTTTTAAAAAATCACTTCAATTTACATTGACTTACATAGAAAATTGACTATGCTGTCATTAGACATGCCAACTACAGTCAATTTCGCGAACTTTATAAAAAGACGTCCCAACTGTAGAAAACTATATCACGGTCAAAAAACTTGTTGCATGGTCTAGAAAACTTTTGAAAACAAAAAGGAAAAATAGCTTCAGGGAGTTTTGCGGAACACTAAATCGCGATTCATCCTTAAAAACGATATGGAATAAAGTAAATTCAGTTGCAGGTCAGAAAACTAATACTTCCAGTCTTATGCCATCTTCGCTACTAGCTAATGATATACTAAAAATCATAACACCGAATTCTGCTTCCCCTGCTGTTGCTATCAAAATTCCTAATGACAAAGAACCTGCCTTTACATATAATGAATTTAGGTATACATTATCAATTAAAAAAGATTCTTCTCCTGGCTTAGATAATATTTCCTACTCAATGGTAAAAAACTTACCTAACTTGGGTGCCGTTTGGCTGTTACAATTCTACAATAACTGTCTCAAAAGTGGATCTATTCCCCAACAATGGAAACAATCTTTAATCTTGCCATTTGTAAAATCTGGGAAAGATAAATCATGTCCAAATAATTATAGACCTATAGCTTTAACATCCTGCGTTGGAAAACTTCTAGAATCACTTATCAAAAATAGAGTAGAATGGTATTTGGAAAACAAGAAAATCTTCCATCCCTTACAACTAGGATTTAGACGAGGAAAAGGCTGCACAGAATCAATATCTTACTTAATCACCCAAGTCCAAATAGGCTTGGCATCAAATAATTATACTGTTGGTCTATTCCTTGATATTTCGGCAGCTTATGATAGTGTAAATATATATCTTCTATACTCCAAATTAGCCAATATTGGCATTTCAATAGAGCTATGCAACCTTATCTATGCATTTCTAAATAACAGATCCATTTCAGTCTCAGATAACTGTGGTCAAAGTCATGGACCACGAACCTCCAATCAAGGACTTCCTCAGGGATCTCCCCTTAGCCCGATTTTGTTTAATCTCTATATGTTATCTTTATTCAATATTATACCAAAAACCTTTAAATTAATACAATACGCGGATGACATTGTAATTTTGGTTAGTGGAGAGAATGTCTTCAATATTACTATAGAAATAAACTCTTTATTGATTGCTTTTAAAGACTGGCTCGATGAGCACAATTTCAACTTGTCTATAACTAAATCATCGGCTCTCCTTTTTTCAAAAGGTCCTATTAAATTAATCCTTCCAAAAATTAAATTTAATGATACAATCATTCACTGGTCAGATTCATTCAAATATTTAGGCATTTACATTCATAAACACTTAAAATGGAATGCACATATAAATTACATTGAGCAAAAAATTAACAGAGGTTTAAATGTCATGCGAGCTCTTTGTGGTACGTGGTGGGGCAGTGATCCAAAAATCCTTCGCATAATACACAACGCTATCATCTTAAGTCATATAGATTATGGATGCCAGGTAATTTCTCCATGTCCGAAGTACCTTCAGAAGAAGTTGGACAGGCTACAATATCAGAGCTTACGTGTCATCACTGGTTGTATGAAATCAACCCCAATTTATGCTTTGCAAGCAGAGAGCGGGGATATCCCCTTAAACTTAAGAAAAGACTGGCTTTGTTATAAATTTCTTTTAAAAAATCTTGCATTGGAAAATAACCCTGTCATCAATTCGTTAAAACATTTGGAAACACTAAATAAAGAAAGAAATGTCTACAAAAAGGTAATTGACACTCCAGTATTATTAAGTTTAATGAACCAAATGGATGAGTTCCTTCCGAATATGTATTCTAATGAATTGCTGCCATGCCATGAATTTGAATTGGACATCCAACTCTCTTCAATTCCAGTTTTAAATCTTAGATCAATTAGGGATGACACTTATGGATTATCCATTTTTACTGACACAATAAACAAGCTACCCGGTTACACAAAATTCTTCACCGACGGATCTGTGGGACCTTCTAATGATTCAGGCTTCGGTGTATTTTCTCCAGACCTCAATTACGTGTTTTCAAGCAGACTACCTCAACATACACAAATATGTACTGCAGAAATTATTGCAATTAACCATGCCTTGCAAATCATTTTAGAAAAAAATATATTGAACTCAGTTATCTTCTCGGACTCCAAATCTGCTTTACAAAAAATTGGAAATATGAAATTCTCTACAGAAACTGATCATTGCTCCTTTCTAACAAAACAAGGTATCTTACTTGCTAATATGAATAACATCCACATCACTTTGGCATGGATTCCAGGTCACTCCGGCATTATTGGCAACCATAAAGCCGATCAATTAGCAAATATAGGCAGAATCCTTAAAATTCCTTTAAATATTAAACTCAATAAGTCTAACTTTTTACCCTTCATTAAACAAGAAATTTGGAACAAATGGCATCAACAATGGAATTCACTAAAAGAAAACAAAACATCTTTTTACTTCCAAGTGGTTCCTAAAATACCCAAAACTCCGTGGTTCAATAGTAAACAATTCTATGAAAGAAGGTACCTTTCCACAATCATACGGATGAGAACTGGCCATTGTCTAACCCCATATCATTTATTTCGAATTGGTATTAAAGATGACCCATTTTGCGAGTGTGGAGAAGTTGGATCGTTAAATCACATCATCTTAGAGTGTCCCATTAATAAATCTCCCCTTTTTGATGTATATTTGGAACTAACGAAGGCTGGTTTATCAGCCCCATTTGATATTCGATACATCTTGTCTCATTTGGATGATAGAAGAATAACCACCCTTTCTAAATTTCTAAATTTCTTTAAAATCATTATCTAGTAGAAGCAAATCAACTATATCTGGGTAAATTGTTCGCAGTAACATAGCCCAAAAAAAGAAAAGAAGAAGAAGAAGGACGGAAATTTGACCATTGCCGATTCGCCTCCTTCTCTCTAGTCTTCATACTCTTAACACATGTCAATCTTGCGCATAATGTATTTACTAACAAGTGCCGCCAGTGGCGGGCTAGAATATTCAACAATACTTTATACACTGTTCTATTAATATCCTAGAAGTTTATAACGCACAAGACAGGTCACATTGTACCTATTACGTGGTTTTAATTTTTCTATTTTTCGTATTGTTTAAGTTTTCTCTTGTAAATCAATATTACTTACAATAAATTAAATTAAAATAGTACAGTCTTCAACAACAGCGCATCCTACTTGATCTGATGGAACAAGAATTTGTATAGAAATGGGCTTTTTTAGCGATTTTTTATGACAACTTAATTTTTAATTCTGTCAAATTCGGCAGTATTATTGTCTTAAGGAGACGCTATGATTTTTGTGAGATTTGAACTGTTGTACAGTCCATCGATTCAGGTTCAGTCCATAACTAAACGTGAAGTGCTCGATCTGATTTACATCTGGCCACTTCTCTTTTATCCTTTTTTGTCTAATATGAAGAAGAAAAAGAAGGAAATGAGCTTAATAAATCTCGTCTTTAGTTTAGAACTATCCGTTTTGGTCTGCAGGCCGTATCAGAGCTTGTAAGGCATTCATTAGGATTAGTGCTCAAATTATAAATTTAGAGACGTGGGATTTGGGATACGAGTATTGTGAATGCTCTGATAATAATTTACTTTCTGTCTTACTTAGCTAACGAACGTTTCAAACTATAAATATTTTTAAAATGAATCATTTTGTAAGAACAATATAACAAATAGTATGTTTCTATACAAATCCAAATTAAAAACAATGTTTTCTTCTCTTTTCAGCTCGTCCAACAGATGTGAAATTCAGATTTAAAAATGTTCTGAAGATGTTAATCATAATATATCTATCGACCTTGTTATTTGTGGAACAGGTAAGGACATTTATTTTATAAAAAATTGTTCATAATTAGAAATTTGGCTAAAAAGTTAAATATTTTAAAAAGTATTAAATTTACAAATTGTAATAAGACAATAATCAAACCAATTTAGGTGGTGACGTAATAATTAATAAAAACGGCAGCTCAAATGTTATACATTTTCGGAGGTAAAAAAGAGGATTATGTGTGGTTAAGAAGAACTGAAAATTAATAGGGTTCTCAGCTGGAAAACATCAAATATAATCGAAATCGCAAGTTGATTGGACCTTTCGTTCTAGAGTAATTGTTGGTTGGCGTATCTTTATGTCAAAAATATAACAATATAAAATTGGTTTTTAAATAAAAAGGAGCTAAAATTACGAGATTAATGCCAAATTATAAATTGTCAAAATAAGTAGAAAATGACAACACATCAAATATTACTTAATAAATGTGAAGGATAAAGAGCATTAGGTAGGAGAAGATAAATAAAAATATATGTAAAAGTCAGTCCTGCTAAAAACCCAAACTGGGGCATATACTAAAAGGAATAGAAACATTAGAACTACTTCTTAAAACTTATTTTCCTCATTGCACAACAAACCTGAATGCAGCAAACCAAACCCACACGAACTGGAACTCTCAAAAAAGAGTCTCCTGCCAAGAGTGGGAAACTGCTAAACGGGTAGTCACAACAGAGAAAGTAACATTGACAATACGCACCTTTAATCCATACAAATCACCGGGACCAGATGGGGTATTGCCTGTGCTTCTACAACAGGCAATAGAAATACTGGCCCCGCATATTTGTAAGCTCTACAGGGTAAGTTTGGTGCACAAACATGTACCAAATACCTGGAAACAAAGCAGAGTTGTTTTTATACCTAAATCAGGGCGTCCAGCATATGCCGTGGCGAAGGCCTGCAGACCGACAACTCTGACGTCATTTCTATTGAAAGGATTGGAAATACTGATTGATTAGCATGTACGCAAACTAGTCATTTCTTACAAACTAACATGCCTATCAAACAGAAAAATCATGTGAGTCTGCTCTACATCATCTTGTAACCAAGATAGAGAGGGGACTTAGTAGCCAAGAAATAGTCCTAGGAGCATTTTTTGATGGAGCTTTAGGTAATACCTCCTTTAAATCAATGGTAGCTGCCGCTCGCGAATACGGAATAGAAGACACCATCTGCTGGTGGATAGAAGACATGTTACGCGGACGGCAAGTACATGCACAAATGTTCAGTGAACCCATATATGTGAATATCCACAGGTGATGCCCACATGGTGCAGTCTTTTCTCCTCTACTGTGGAACCTAGTGGCAGAAGAACTGCTGAAAACACTAAACAATCAAGGGCTGTACGCCCATAGATATGCCAATGAAATAGTCATCCTTATCCGAGGGAAATATCAAACCACAGTCTTCGAACTCATGCAAAGAGCTCTTAGGCTAACAGAAATGTGGTGCGTTAGGGAAAACCTCTTGGTAAACCCTGATAAGGCATAACTCATAACCTTTACTCGAAAAACAAGGTTGGAGGTCTTATAAACTCCAATTCTGTTTGGAGGAAGACTAAACAAAACGAACCAAGTAAAATAACTGGGTCTAATCCTAGATAGCAAACTTACTTGAAACCAACACTTACAAAAAGTGACCAACAAATGTAAAATTTATCTCATTGTAGGGAGACGGGCATTTGGGAAAACGTGGAGATTAAAACAGAAAATGGTCCACTGCCTATATTTGGCAATAACAAGACCCATGTTAACTTATGAAGCGGTTGTTTTCTGGCCAGAAGTAAACCAAAAGACAGACCTTAATACCCTCTCAGGAGTTTTGACGCTGGCATGTCATTGTAATACAAGAAAATTGGGAAGTACACTGACAGCCTCTATGAAAATCATTCTAAACCTCCCGCCCCCTGACCTAGTCATAAAGGGGGAGGCCAGAATAAGTGCATACAGACTGGAAATCTCCAAGAACTGGAACCCACTAGGACATATAAAACATACCAGAATAATACATAAAGTAAATAATCCTATATTAAACATGGGATTAGATCACATGACACCCCTCCTAACCATCAACAGACTTCCAGGTCAACTGCAACTGGAACAAGGTAAATCAGGAGGTAGAGAAATATTTGCTTAGCGGTCTCATATGGTATACGGATGGATCTAAAACTAACAAGGGAACAAACTGTGGCGTACATGGAGTTAAACCCAAATGCGACATCATCGTCTCACTGAGAAAACATACCACTGTATTTCAGGCTGAAATACATGCAATAGAATTGTGTGTATGAGAGAATTTAAGAAAGAAGTTCAAAAAACAAACCTTACTAATTCTCTCAGATAGCCAAGCAGCCTTAAAGGCTCTTGATTCAAACAGAATCAAGTCAAAGCTTGTCTGGATCTGCTTTGGAATACTAAATGATCTGGCAACCCACAACAAGGTAAAACTAGCATGTGTACCAGGGCACAAAGGTATCCAAAAAAAATGAAAAGGCTGATAGGGATCAGAACTACCATTCACAGGTCCCGAACCTGTATTTGGAATAAGCAAAACCTTTGCTCGATAGGCAGTGAACAGGTATATAACCACAAAACACCAGATGCACTGGCAACAGATAAGAGGGCATAGAATCAGTAAGCTCATGCTAAGGGGACCAAACACACGCATGGCTATTGAGGCACTACAACTCGCAAGGCCTCAGATATCCACCATTGTGGGATTAGTAACGGGACATTGCTTGCTGAAACAACTTCATGTGATGGGATTACACAATGATCCCACTACGTGTAGACTCTGCATGGAAGAGGAAGAAACCTCATACTATGTGATCTTCGAATGCGAAGCTCTTACTAGGCGACGTTTTATCCTTTTCAGCCTAGAACCGAAAAGAACGCCCCAGGAACACTTGGTAGGGAACTTATTAAAACTAATCAAAGACACAGGACTATTCCAAAGATAATACCTGAATACGGGGAAAGCAGGAAAATACAATAGACCTAAGAGGCCGCATTGTTCTGGACCCTGCTTATAACCGACAAAGATAAAGAAAAGTCCTGCTAATAAAATTTTAACAAAACAGTGTGTAAGAAAAACTCTATGAAGGTTCTACGAGAATCGTCTTATTAATATAATAATAAAAATTTAAAACTAATATTTACGTACATAGTTAAATATTGAATTTTAATTTACATAATTGATTATTTTTATTTTTAGGTATTCGCCAATGATAATTTATTAATGGATTCTAATAAAGGTAAAATTATTATTTCAATACCTATCCAAAACCTAATAAATACTTACATAAGCTAAGCTAAGAGTGACCTTTTCTTGCTTTCGGCTCATAAACCTTAGTTTATTTTCTGCTAATTTTACACAGCAAATTCCCAATTAAAAAGAACAACTACTTTTCGTTGCCAAAAATAATAAAATTGAAATAAAAAATGAGAATGTGTAAAATAAAAATAAAATAGATGTTTAAGATAATCTATTTGTACATTCATCACAACACCTTTTAGACAAATATTCATAGACTCTATAATAAACATGTTTACACACATTCTCCTTGAAACGATAAAATGTTTTACTACTGCAATGATCAATAATAAACGTAACATCGTTAATATTTAGTACAGGTAAGTTAAAATCATAAGAAACGCAACAAAAATAGATTTCAGACGTTCTAATAATTCATCTAAAACAAACCGTTTAAAATATTTTCCAGACAAATATTCCCATAATTTATATCTGCCACTTTGTATAAATTTTTTTCAACACCTCTTCAGGTAAGTACCCAAGATAAATAATAATTCATTGTTATTATCTTCTTCTTACAAAGTGGACGCGTGGGTTGGAATAAATTAATTTAAAATTTAGCGGTTTGTTTTTTGAAAAAATGCTTAGACACGTCAATTTTAATTTTTAACTGCGGTTTTTTGATAGTAAACTTATGTGTACAGGGTGGCCCAAAAATAAGTAAAGATCATCAACTTTATTTCTTTAAATAGATATATCTATTTTTTATTTTTCATTTCATTTTTGAATTTCGCATCAAATTCTAATTTGTTCCAATCTACGCGTCCACACTGTATAATAAAGTCATTTCAACCAAATTTGGTAAACTAAACTTAAACCAAACAAAAATTAAAAAGCCTTAATTTTTGCTCTTTCTTCATAATTAATTAACAACAAAATATTTTACAATGGGGTTTATTCTGTAACGTTTTAGTTAACTTTAACCACTATGTTAAAAGGGCATTTATAATTATGACGTTTAAATTTTAAACCTATTCTATATTCCACCAGTTTAATTTGGTGCTATTTTCTATTTTATAACCAATCCCAGATAAAATAGACATGACAACGATGTAATGTACCTAAAGATGAATTAAAATTCGAGAGGCCTCCCAACTTATCGAGACTGAGGCCCACAAGGGCAAACTCGTAGTGTAAAAAAACGAGAAATGATTTAATTTGGTACGAAAGACCGAAAGCCGATAGTAGTATTAGGACGTTGAATGTTTTGGTTTGTTAAGCACTGGCATTACTAAGGTTAAACTATGTTATGATTTTCACAAGCCTTGATTTTTAAAACCATTTTATATCGCCTTTTGATTAGGGTATACAAACTTGTTCGAGCAATTTATCCAATAATAATTGGCCCCTTTAACTCTTAAGCCTGCTCATATAAAATATTTGGGCTCCTTACTTCGCCTATTTATATAATATTGTTACGCAGTACCCTGAAACGTGCTGCGGTCGTCATAAGTAAAGGTACGAGTAAATGAAGAAGATATAATAGTCCACAAATGTCTCGAAATGTCATTCCACGTCAGAAAAGTCTAGACAGTTCAAGAATGTTCGAGAAGGTTAAAGCAAGCTATATATGCAAAGTTGAAATAAATTGTGATACCAAAAACCTTCTTAACAATAGTAATCAAGGACAGAAGGATGAGTATTGCAACTATGTTAAAAGAAATAATATGGCTTCCAGTTCAGAATTATGTTCAATACATGACTGATATTTATTTGTAAAATAAAAATGACATAGTACCATCGCATCAGATCTATTAGAAAAAATTCAATATAATTCGCAATATCACAACTATAATACAAGAAGCCAATCTGACTTTCATGTACGACAAGCCATCACTAAAAGTTGCCAAAATACAATTTTTATTAAAGGTTTGCAAAAATTTAATATACTGTCTACAGAAATTAAAAAAAAAACAACAATAAAAGTATTCAAAAGTAACCTCAAACAATACTTGATAAATAAACAACGGATATACTTTCTTGTGATAATACTCTTTAAACCTGCCCTTTTCAAGTATTTCCCTTAATTTATTGTTATTTTACCCCTCGTTTTACCCGTATTTATTATAAATTATTTCTGTTTTCAGATCATGTACTTTATTTTAAAAAATTACTTGATGTTATATTAATACTACCTACTATGTTTAAATTATTAATAGTTTTGTGACTATAGGTTATAGTAACTTATAGCCACAAAACTATTTTTGTGTTAAAGTAGATCCATAGAGAGCAATATAATTTTCAAAGGCCTTCTTTCAACATACAAATAAATGAGAAACACAAAAAAATACCTCGGTATCATAATTGATCAAAATTTGTAATGGGTTGATCACATTACGTCATTAACAACCAAAGTTAGAAGATTCATTTTTAAATTTTATGAACTGAGGAAATTTATGACTAGGAGTTTACTAATTATTATTTACAATTCGCTGGTTGAATCTATTTTGCGAAATGGTATAATGTGGACTATATGATATTGCACTTCAACTCCTTAATAAAATAGTTTAATTAAAATTATCTATAAGCATTATATAAAAAAATGTATAATAAAAAAGTGCTTTGAATAAGAACATTATATTGTCTGTCTTGCTGTACCTTTATTTATGAAAATCCTGAATTGAGATACACTACAAATTATTTGCAATATCAAAAGAAGCATACAAACATTTTTAAATAATTTGATATTTAAGAGCCATTCACACATCACAGTTGACATCTTCATACTTGACAGGCACAGCCAAGCATTATTTTGATTTTTGCCAAATAAAATGGCCGGTTAATTATTCTATTGGGTTGCAACAGAGAGCCAGTAAATTTGATGAAGGTATTTTTGTGGCTAGAGGCGAAATAGTAGTAAGCTTAAGTTAGCACCACCATAAAAAAGTCATTTTTAAAAAACTGCTTATATATTTTTCATAAATTGGCAGGCTTGACTACTAATTTCAAATAAAAATAGCCTCCAAAATGGCTATGGTTGCAATTATTATGAAGGTCGCAACCCGCCTTAGAAATCTCACCTTTACAATCAACAGCTGTTGTTTGACAGGTCGTTGGAGAATTAAATGTATGGAATGTTAAGAATGTTTGGAATGTCAAGACGTTAAGAATAATTGAAATTCCTTAAAATTAGTCAGATAAGAAATGCATAGGCGGATTTTAAGAAAATTGATATCAAAGTAGTTAGGATGAACCAAAAATTATCAAAATCAATAGGGTTCTAAGTTAGAAGTAATTATTTAAGAACATACATACACACAGATGATCAGACGAAAAATTTTTTTTGCATTTTCGGACTCAGAATGATCGGAAACATGAAAAAAAGTTTTCGTCTGCACGAATGCAATACTGAGGCCCCATAGGAAGGGCTTCAGTAATTAGGCCCAACGAATCATTAAAAAAAAAAGAAAGAGAAAATATTTAGTAATGATTACTAGATTTAATACTGACATCAGTTATAATTTTAATCAAACAATACAGAATACAAAATTAAAATACCATACAGTTTTTTATATAACCCACGGTTAATTTTAACCAAATTTTTATAGAATAGACTTCAATACCATAAATAAAAAACTAATTCCATGTTTTACACATGTAAAGAAACCTACAATAATAATTATTAAATATAAACATAAATAAAAAGAATTCTTAATTTTGTTAACACGAATAAAAAAGAAACTCCTAATCTAAAGTTTTGCAGTCTTTGAGAATGAAATATTGGTTCTTCTGTTCTTCCGTTCTTCCGTTCTTCCGTTCTTCCGTTCTTCCGTTCTTCCGTTCTTCCGTTCTTCCGTTCTTCCGTTCTTCCGTTCTTCCGTTCTTCCGTTCTTCCGTTCTTCCGTTCTTCCGTTCTTCCATAAACGCTCAATGACGTCGTCATTTTCTATTGTATTTTATCATAGTATTTAATATGTCGTTTTGTATATGTCGTCGGTTTTGACTGAGAGTACTCCTTAGCCTGTTTTTCAAGTACTTCAGTTTAAAAAATTGGAATTGGAATTGTCAGTAAAAATGTAGATGCTAAAGCCAACATTGGGTAAGCCTCTTTACATATTATATTTACAAACATGGGCGCCGTTCAAATAATTTCCAGGAGTCTTATAACCAGGGTCAAAACGCCGCAGGCTCTAGGCGAAAGCATGGCGAAAAATCACAAATCCTCGTGTTTACAAACCATTGAATAGCAGCACAGTTAACAACAATTTCTGTAACTCTTGCAATGCATATTGTTTCCTTTCCACCGTCGTCCTGTTGATTACTGGTTGATTCCAATTAAGTGACATTTTTGTACTCGGACACTTACGACTCCTGCCGAGCAAAAAATCTAGTTGTACACATTTCTGGATACGCGTGCAGGAATTATAAATTTACTAGTAATGCAGATTTCCTTTAATTTCAATTTAGGCGCTAACATCAAAAATTTCATACATATGCACAAACTCGATATTTTGTCAAGAATTGCGAAAACTATCGAATTAGGTACAAAGTAACAAACTCATTAACAATAGATTTATATTTTGAGATGGAAATGTTATTGAGCAGAAGGTATTAAGTAAAAGTACATAAAGAACATATATTTTAAATTGCAACACTTTCTTGTCGCCAAGTTTTCTATGCTCAATTATTCCGTCAATCCTTGTATTATATTGAATTCTCCCTGTGTTATTTTTGTAAGAATTTTTTTTTTTTTTTTTAATATATTCTTGGCTTGTTCACAATATGCATTTGTTTTCTATTATAGTTTTTATTTTGCAACTTTTAATTAGTTTTCGTGTAAATATATGTTACATCACAACCCATAAGTAGAATTTACTTTTGTAATTTATTAATTTTATTTTTAGATACCACTTTATTATTGTTACTTACTATTAAGAATATTGTCCTGTAAATGGGAAACTGTTGGGCAATAAAGCTATTATTATTATTATTATTATTATT